CTGGTAGACATCGCGGTTGGAATTATCAAAGGTTTTGCGTTTGGAAGCGGGGGGTGGGGGTGGGGGGAGGACCAGGGAGGATGATTCAACCACTCAACCACTAGATGTCGCTGAAAACAACAAATCCTACACACTGTGCCTTTAAAGCCAACATTGACCAGAAACTACATCTCCCATAATGCATGGGAATTCCCTGTAGGAAAGTGGGAGAGTTCAGAATTCAAGACTTACCACAACTCAACAGTGAGTAAAACTCTCTTATTTTATTTTTTTTACTTTTAATAGTATTTCAGCATTATTTATTTCACATTTAGTCAGTCGTACACTTAGTACTTTTCAGTGTTAAAAAGAGGACGCTGTTTCGATGCAGGAAACACCAGGTAGAGCTCAGTTAGTGTTCGCTAGCAGTGCTGAGGAACAAGACGTTTTCTGTTTAGTCAAAGTTAAACATGAAACTTTGAAGCTAATTACAAATGGTGCTTTGAGGGCCACCATAACGCTCAAGTAGTCCTCGGTGAAAATGAGTTTTTCACTCCTGCTGTAAATTGTCCCTAAGTGTGAGTGAGAGAGTGAATTGTCGTTTGTCTCATTTGTCCCTATGTGTCCCTGTGATGGACTTGCGAACTGTCCAGGGCGTACCCCGCCCCTCGCACAGTGACTGCTGGACCTGGGCACCAATGACCCCTTTGACCCTGAAAGGAAGTGGATAAAAATGATGGATGGAGATTGATTTATTGGATGGATGGATGGATGAACTTTGATGTTAAACCTGTTCAAGATGGCCGCCACAGCTCACACAAAAATGTCTATTTTACACATTTTTACAACAAATTAATTTGATTCCCAATATTCAGCAGAAGCACCAAGTTTTTCAGGTCTTTGTTTAAACGTTTACCTCTGAAGGCCAAATTCTGATCTTCAAGGTAAAAGTATTTTTTCCGCCTTGAAAGATTTTCTGTTCAGAAATCTTCACATCAGTCCAACATGTTGGCTTCAACCACAGATCAAAACAACAACAAACGACTAATGACAAAAACAACTGCTGTTCATTTTCTCATTTCCTCACAACAAATTGTCACTGAAGTTTAAAAGAGCCCAAACAAATCCACATGTAGAGCAGGAAAAACAAAGCTTTTATAAAGGTTCGGCTTGGAAAGTCTTTGTAAGAAGTAGACACTCGGCAGCAGAGAGCCGGGCTCTGATGTCGTTCTGTCAGGACAGCAGCCGTGTTTCCTGACGATGGCAGCGACCGGCGGTTCTGCTGGATGACCCTGACCGCTTTTACAGAGCGTGTCACCCCTGAGAGTCAGCGCAGTGATTTCTAATCTGCAACTCAGAGACACAAATACAAAAACAGGAGGTTGACCAACTCTAAAGGAATGTGCTGTTTTAGATATTATGTAAAAGAATGAGCCCAGCAGGATGTCCTCATTTAGATAAAAAAATATATCCTGCTGGACAGTTTTAAAACTGCTGTTTGTTGATAAGGTTTCATTTATGAGATAGATAAATAAATAAAAGGGTTATATCAAAATTTGTGAAAATATAAGGTCACTACAGCTAACATCTTATTGACTTCTTAAGTTAATCAGTTGTAGCTGAAGATCCACTCATTAGTTTATGAAAAGTTTATTAAAACCCCCTGCAGTGGTTCATGAGATATTTTGCTAACAGACAAAAAGGACCAGCTCCAAAGACCAAAACTACAATTTTAAACAAATACATTGCACAATCAGTTAGCACTTAAAATATGCATTGTGGCTCAGTCTCAGCTACTAAAAAACCAAATTTTAGCTTATTTTCTATAAAAATGGCATCTCTATGATCATTTCTGTGCTCAGTGATGTCAATAAACTGTAGCAGCCATCTTGAATCAGGTTGACACCAAAAGTTAATCGATTGTAAAAATACACCCAACTATTAATTTCTGTAAGTTTAATTAAATTTCAAGCAGTAGTTTATTAGATATTTTGCTAACAGACACAAAGGACCGGCTCCAAAAACCAATACAACAATTTTAAACAAAATACATTGCACAATCAGTTAGCACTTAAAATATGTGTTGTGGCTCAGTCTCAGCTACTAACAAACAAAATTTTAGTTTATTTTCTGTAAAAATGGCATCTCTATGATCATTTCTGTGCTCGGTGATGTCAGTAAACTGTGGCAGCCATCTTGAATCAGGTTGAAACCAAAAGTTAATCAGTTGTAGATGTACATCCAACAATCAATTTCTGTAAGTTTCATAAAATTTCATGCTGTGGTTTATTAGATATTTTGCTAACAGAAAAAAAACACAAATATGTTGTCCACCTTCACCTGTTGGTGGCAGTCTTTTATGAGGCATCCATGGACCTAAGATTGACTTGAATGAACCGCTTGTTTTCAACAGTGTGGAAGAGTTTTGCTGCCACCTGGTGGTTGACGTATGTAACTGCAGGTAGATGCAAATATAATGTACATTTATTCATTTTCTTTCAATCTGTTTTATGATAAATCATACAATGTCATGCATCGTTTTTCTAAAATATGCTTAGTGCTCTGCAATGAAATAAACAGTTTTACACACATTTACATAGATTTATTCATTTATTTTTGGTCCCCAGAGAAGCACTTTAACCAGGTTTCTTCCTCATCAAATCACATTACAAAGCATTTTTTAAGAATATTGTGCTGGTTATGATTTGTACAGTTCCATGGTAAATCTTAATCAATTTAATTTATTTTAAATTGTAATTCCTTTATGGATAAATAAAATAAAATAAAGACAGTTTTTTTATTCTGCACTGTTTTATCATGACTTGGTTAAATAAAATAAAGTTACACACTTTTGTCCTTTCAAACTAATTCTGCACTTTGATGCTTGTGTTTTGCCACTGTCTAATTGGCCGTAATAAAAAGAGAAACAGCAAACAACATGTAATATCTTGATGCATTTTAAGGGCACTTAATCTCCATTATTTTACAGGATTCTTGATGTAACTTCAGTCATCACGATGGATTTGAATTTAAATGCTTTCTAACAATTCTTCAAGAATAAAAGTCTGTGAGACTCCTGCAACTCAGAGCAGCTGAATATTTTATATCAAGAACCTGTTGAGATTTAGTGTCAGAAACAAAGCCTGAGCCCTGAGGTGCAAACTGCTACAGTTCACAGTTTCAATCAGCTCAGGTCACATGAGAATAAATTAGGTTTAAATATGATATCATAATAATAATAAAAAAACGGGCTGCTGTGGTTTTCATTTAGTTTTAAACTAATCTCTGATTTGATGTGATGAGTCACAAAAAATGTGTTTTAATCACCTGCCTGGTTTAAATCTAATTACCTCGACATCATCTGTGTCAATCGTAGAAAATGTTTGGAGTAAAAGCTACGTTTGATACGATTAGAGAAAAAGTCCATCTGTCAGCGCGACACGTTTGTCGTTTGGTTCCCGCAGGTTCTGAGCTGTCAGACCAGCAGAGGATTGTCCAACACGGCCACGCCGGACGCCACGCCACCGTCTGAATGTTCGACACTCTTGGTTCTCAGCAGGTGACCCACGCACTCATTCATCAGCATGTCCTCCCCCTGCCTGAGTCACGACAGGGACAAAAAATAAGTAAAAATCTCTATAAAAAATGATTAAAGAAAACACATTAGTTTGTATTTTATTAATTTAACCTAAATAATACGCTCTTATTTTTTTAAACTCTTATTGTTTTGGTATTTTCTCAGGTCTTTTGTTCACCTCAGGTTATATTTAATATTTTTTAATCTTTTACCAACTTACTGCTTTTTTAAGTGACTTTTTGTTACTGTTTATCAGCTGTTTATCCCAGTTGATGGGTGAGAGAATTGCCAGGATCAAAACTGTGCAAGACATTGAGACAGAGGTCACAAGCATGACTGATTTGGCGAGTCCAAGTTGGGGTGGCCAGAGTGATGCTCACCCATGTGCAATGAATGGCCTGCCTGAGCATCACAGGTTCCATCAGAACAACACCCACACCAGCCATGGAAGTCCTACTGGACCTGGCTCCACTAGATTTACATATCTTAGGGGAGGCCGCATCCAGTGCAGTAAGGCTACGCCAGTCTGGTAGGTGGGAAAGCCTATCTGACTCACAGCACACTAGAATCTGGTACTGAGCAGTTGCTGCTATTCCAGTAACTGCAGGACCTGGAGACAGAATGGTCAAAAAATACAATTTTGAGCCAAGTTTTAAGACGGAGATAGAAGACAGGTCTGTCTGGATTAACCTCTCTACGACGGACATGTCTCCCATTCATTTCTACTGTTTTACAGATGGATCCCTTCTGAAGGGGTCAGTAGGTGCAGGGGTGCTTATTTTGCACAACCATAGTAAGAGAGAGCATAAATACCCACTAGGTTGTTTTGCATCTGTTTCTCAAGCTGACATATATGCAATCCACCAGTGTGTGGCATCTCTCAAAGACCTTCAGTGTACACAGAAGGAAATATTCATCCTAACAGATAGCCAACCTGCTATTAAAGCTCTTCGAGGGCCACACTTTACATCATTACTGGCTTGGGAGTGTGCCGAAGCAGTCAAACAACTGGGAAGAGATAACAGTGTTACTGGTAAAAGGGTACCAGGACATACTGGCATTTATGGTAACCAGAGAGCTGACTACCTCACAAAAGCTGGCAGTCAGGCTCACTTCAAAGGACCAGGGGTCTCATATATAAAGGATTGCGTGGAAACCATACTAAAAGTGAACGTACGGCCAGAAGGCGGAAATGGCGTACGCCAAAAAAAATTCAGATTTATAAAACCGTACGTACGCATGTTTCTGCGCATCTTTCATTCATAAATCACAGCCGCACGTCAGAGTTTGCGCATGAGGTCCCACCTCAGGTTCTACCCTCTACACGCCCACATTCAACCATAAACAGTCAATGTAAAGTACCTCATGAATGTTAAGCTGTATTTAAATCAGTCAGCTGATCAATGCCAACAAAAGTGATTGGTTCAGACACGCTCCGTCGTGCGTCTGGAGGATGACAGGTGCTGACTGACAGCTGCTCACGTGAACAGAATGTCTGTAATTGACACAGATTTTCCATCATTTTGCTTTAGAGTAATCTAATGATTTTTATAAAAAATACAAATAAAAAACCTCAGCTTCAAATCAATCTCCCATCAGAGCCTGAAGGACGATAAAAACAATAAAAAATAAATAAAATAAGTCAGGTAAAATTAGAAATAAGTCCACTGCTCTTCTCCTCATCCTCTCCCCCTCCTGCCTGCTCTGTTAACCGCGGCAGACCCCCGCCCCACGCGCGCATGCACGCATCCCCCCCGCGCGCGCGCGTGACAAACACGGACTGGATACACGCCCTGCGCGTGTATCCAAAGCTTTTGCTGTCCTGCTGTTCTTATCGGGGAGGGGTCTGTGTGGGTCAGGGTTGTCTGAGGAGGAAGCAGATGAATGGAGTTGCGCACGGGAACTTTTATTTAAGTCTGATTCTGAAGGTAAATTAAATATCTGACAGTGATCATTACACAGTGTGGCTCTAATTCCTCACTTCACCATCTGTGTCGCAGTTTCCCGTCTCCAAAATGAGCGTACGCATGGGTCAAAGCTGGCGTGAGGCACCGCACATTTTCACGTCAAGTTTGGATTTTATAAATCACAACCTTGGCGTAAAAAGTGGCGTACGCAAGTTTCTGGGCTCAAATTGTGCGTACGCCAGTTTTATAAATCCGACCCCAGAGCCTGTTGTAGGTACCTCAACAACAGTCTGTAGGACTGCCCTACAGGCCTGGATTAGACGTCAACACTCAATCCATTGGAGGGAGCTGATGGACTCTAGACAGGCACGGAAACTGATTAACGGCTCAAATCTAAGGTTTGGGAAAGCTCTCATCTCTCCGTCAAGGAAAACTCTAAGTACACTGGTTGGAGTCCTAACTGGGCACAATCTACTCAACCACCACAAAATGGTGATATGACTCCATGACAATGGTCTGTGTGATGCCCGTGGCATTGAATTAGAGACCTCTTTGAACTACTTAGGCCACTGCCTGGCTCTGAGTGGTCAAAGGAAAGATTTCTTGGAGACCCCTTTATGGACTCTGAGAAGCTCAGAACACTGAGTGTTTCTAACCTTGTGTCCTTCATCCGAGGGACGAGAAGGTTTGAATGAAGACCAGTGTCTTTTTGGGGAGAGCAATGGGCCCACTTAGGAGGCCTCCGCTCATATGGATTTTATATCCATCCCCATTCAACATAAATAAACCATGGAGGGCAGATATGGGAGGAAAATGAAGAGATTTTTCATTTCTGTTTTTTTACTCCTGTTGGTGGAGACAACTGATATGGAAAAACATGTTTGCTCTAGTTCCAAAATCTGTGCCACAACCTTTAAAAAATTAAAAGTTCAAATATTAATCAGCCTTCAAATTACAAAAAACAACAACAAAAGCATCCACAGCATTTATTACAATGCTATGTTGCCTTATAACTTGAAATTTTATTTAATTAAAAGCAATAACTAAATGAAAAACACCTTGGATTAATTATCTGCACAGATCTTCAAAGAAGATGTGAACCACGCAGAGCAGACGTACCTCACGTACACGCCGAACGCTCCCAGCTCACTGACACAGCTGCTGAGTTTCAGGGGGGCGTCTCGCCTCAGTAGATAGTTCTGCACGGGAGCGGGAACGATTTTATCCATCAGTATGTAGGCCGTTCGCTCGGAGCCGCCCTTCACTCTATTCAGCTCCTGGATGAGCTCTGACCCGTACAGGTTGTTTCCTGGAACGTTAACATTGAGAAGAGACAACGAGGCTTTAAAAGACAACGAAACAAAAAAATACAATCCCATCAAAGCAGCAGAAACTTTGTGGCTCAGAGTTTAAAACTCGTCACTTGTTTTCTCCTGTTAGCTTGTTTTTGGTTCTTATGACAACTCTGTCCCGACAGGTTGGGGACTCGAGGGACTGTCTTTAAGTGTCTTAAATCTCATTTGTCTGAAAGGGCTTTTTAAAGTAATGATTAATGACTTCTTCTTCCACTGTTCCTTTGACTACTGGTGTGCCTCAGGGCTCTATCCTCAGTCCTGTGCTCTTCTCACTGAATATATTGCTACGGAGTTCGGTCATAGCCAATGTCCTCATAACAACTTTGTCCCGACACATTGGGATTCAAGGGACTGTCCTTAAGTGGCCTAAGTCTCATTTGTCTGAAAGGACTTTTAAAGTGATGATTCAAGACCTTTTCTTCCACTGTTTCTCTGACTACTGGTGTGCCTCAGGGCTCTATCCTCGGAACTGTGCTGTTCTCACTGTGTTTGGTCATAAACAAATATAATCTTCAGTTTTGTTTTAATGCAGATGATATACAAGTCTATTTGCCGATTGTCCCCAACGACATAAATCCTTTAAACTCTGTTTTTGAATGGTTTAAAGTATATTAGAGTGGCTTTTACAAAAATTTTTGCACCCGAACGAAAACAAAACAGAACACATTTTGTTTGGGGATAAAATACGGCCAAGTTTTGTTCAAGAACTTGGTACTTTGGCTTTTTACTGTAGACCCGTGTTGAAGAATCTGACTGCGTTGTTAGAACCGTTTTTTTTTTTTTTTCAACTCTGACTTCTGGCTAAGGTTAAACCCTTCCTGAGTCGAAAAGATCTTGAAAAAGCAATTCATGCTTTTATCAGTTCTTGCATTGATTATTGTGATGCACTTATTCGAATAAGCCAGCGTTCTCTATATTGACTCCATTTAGTCCAGAATGCTGCTGCCCGACAGTCGACCGACACTAGGAGGCACAGTCACATCACGCCTGGACTTTACTCCCTCGATCGGATCCCAGTTTGTTTTAGGGTTGATTTCAAACTTTTAATGTTTGTTTTTAAAGCTGTTCATGGTATTGCACCTTCTTATTTGTGGGATATTTTACAAGCACATCGTCCAGTCAGAGCTCTTCGGTCTGCCGACCACCATCTTTTGGAAGTCCCCAGATCAAAGTCCAAACAAGTGGGGCCACCGTTCATTTGCTGTAGCTGGTCCAAAATTATGGAACTTTTGAAGTTGCGCGTGATCAATGACCTATTTTTTACCTACAGGCCCTGCAGAGTGGTGGATGATGCCATATGCACTTTAGTGAACTTGGTTCTTTCACATCTTGAGGCACATCTTGTTTTATTGATTTTTCTTCTGATTTTAACTGCATACATAGCATTGATTCTTTCTGCTGCCTTTGATACCGTTGATCATAAAATCTTACTGTCACGATTAGAGCAGCTGGTTGGTATCAAAGGCACAGTTTTATCCTGGTTTAGATCCTATTTGATAGGAGTTTTTCTGTTCATTTAGGAGATTGCTCCTCTTCTACAGCCCCTCTGACTTGTGGGGTCCCGCAAGGCTCTATTCTAGGCCCTCTGCTTTTTAATCTTTATATGTTGCCTCTGGGGTCCATTTTTAGTAAATATAAGATTCCTTTCCACTGTTTTGCTGACGACATTCAGGTCTACCTGCCTATCATGCCAGGTTCGATTAATTCATTCAAATCACTCCTGAGCTGTCTGAATGACCTAAAATCTTCTGAAATAAATATGGCAATAAATAAATAAAAAATAGAACAGCTTTTTTTTCTCAACACAACAGCGCTGTGTACGTCCGCCCATAATCACACACACACACACACACTCACACACACACACACACACACACAC